GATTTTTGTTTGCTTATGTGGACTTTGAACTTGGGCCGGCAAATATTCAAGCTGATAGAAAGAAGTACGAGTAATAAGTAAACAAGTGTATTTGTAGCAAAACAAGCTTTTATTAAGAGATGTTATTCTTTTTTATTTTTTCCATACCCAAAAATGTATATGCATATGTTAGTATGTATGTATGTGCGTATATAATGTGTAAATATGTTATCTAATAACACTGTGCGACACTTAAAAATAGTTGGGAAGTTATGTTATTTTTCTTGTAGGTCTTATTATTCTCGAGTAAAACCTGATTCGAAATATAAAGTTTGTCCAAACATCACCGACAATTTTTTAACTTACGGTTGAAAACCCGGTTTTGCGCACCTTTGCGCACTTAAGCCTCCAACTATCAACCGATGATCAGTTTCTGATCGGTTCTAGAAAGAAGAAATAGTACTTTTCTTATGGTGTATGTGCAAATTTATAAAACATAAGAGATCTATGTATGTGTATCCGTCCAGCAAATGCAATTTTGGTTCACTTTATTCGGCGTTCGGTTAAAATTGACTGAGTTATTGAACTGTTTAAACAAGATCTTTCGAGATCAGCCAAGTTTTTTAATGAAAACGAAAGTGAATAACTACATACATATGTATAGTGCCGGACAAAAGTATTTGCACAGAGAATTTTTCTCAATATATGGAAATTTTTTTATTCTAATTTATTTTCAATATTTTTTAATAAAAATATAGTTCGTACTTCACCGAAAAACATAAAAACAAAATCACTAAACTTTATGCAAAACTCTATTCAGATTAAAAAAAAAAATTTCTAAGTATGCAGTTTTTTATCCCATTCAATTTAAGTATAACAGATTAGAGCATATAGAATATTTTAACATTTGACAGATGAATTCAGAAAAATGCGCTGAATAATATGTACATTAGGGCGGGTTGATTTGTATGGATGAAAAAAAAAAATTAAAAATCGTATAGCAAAAACGTTATCTACATTAAATTCTAAGAAAATTCTCTGAAGAAATCATGGGTCTAAGATCAAACCCTAATCCGCACCTCCCGACTTGAAATTTTTGTTTTCTCTTCTTTCGCTAAAATTATTTTCTTTTTTTGAAATATATTCATGTTTTATTATATTATATTATAGTTCATGCAATACAGGTTTTGTTTTGAGACTAATCAAAATATTCAATTATCAAAAAAGCAGTTGAACCCCAATTTGCATCTCCTCTGATTTGCGTACTTTTTTTAATGATAAAAAAATTTGAGTGTAGAAAAAATATAAAGTGCAAAATAACTACCTTACTAAAAGATTTTATTCAGAAAATTCGATTTCTTTTTGGAAACCCTATTTTTTCTAACATTTATTTTTTTGGCAAAGGCGGCCATATAGATTTTCAAGTCGAGAGGCGCGGATTAGGATTTTATTTTAGATGCATGGTTTCTTCGGAGAATTTTCTTAGAATTTTAAGTAGTTTACGTTTTTGCTATACGATTTAAAAAAAAAAAAAAACCAACCCGCCCTATGATCCGGTGGCACTACAACGTGTTTGAGCACAGCTGTATGTAGAATATGTAATATGTGCCAACAAACGGAAAAATACTGATAAGCTAAAATCTTATCACTGACCAATTGTCTTGAAACATACTCATTCCTTAGGTGCAGCGACTTATTTAAGTGTTTACATACATAGCTAAGTAATAGGGGTATTTAGTATCAAAAACAAAAATAAAATACATTTGTGTGTGGAAAATATAATAAACATGTTTACCAAACCCACACAATTATTATTATTATTCTTTCACTAATAGTTGCGTTCCAGACGCTTCACGATTTGCAGGTTTTTACAGGAAGCCGTTCCAGGTGATCAGCTTCCATAAGGTTTATTAATGGAGAAAACAGCTTTTCCTGCAAATCCTGTAAAACCTGCAAATCGTGAAGCATCTGGAACGCAACTAATGTTTCCTTTTGATTGCCCTTTTCTCTTCTCGTGTTCGACTCTAAAACAAGGGCAAACGGTTTGACAATTTTGTGTTCGTTTCTTTAAATTTCACACTCCTGTAATGCAAAAAAAGTCACATTATCTGCCCTTTAAAGCTTTTTTGCCCTGAAACCAGACCGTTGCTTAAAAGGACAATATTATGTAACGCGTGAAATTTGAGTGTAATAACGAACACATTTTGCACAGTCGAAGCGCAAATATTTTTTTAAGAAAAAACGATGTCACCATAAAATAACATACAATTTTCCTTTAACATACTGTTGTATTAATGAAAATAGGTAAATGGAATTAGATCTGTGTATGTATTCTCTAGTAAAAAAATATCCAGGAACTTGCCATAAAATAACTTCATCGAATCGCCCTCAATGAGAGAATGGGCCAAAACAATACAAAAACTTTAACGGTGCAAGTATGTAATTGATATTTTTATAAAACTTATATTCAACAATTTATATTTTTATAAAACTTCAATTAAAAAGTTTTATTCCGTCAGTTTCAAATTTACTATTCCAAAATTGGTATTTTATGTATAAAATCTACTTATTATTTACCGCTTTACTGATGGTGCAATAAAGTATCGGCATTTTAAGAAATACTCTAGTTTTTTGTTGTTGTTGTCGCATTTGAAGGAGTATAAAAGATTTCGGGAATGGTGTTGAGGACCCAACCTACTAAAATTGTTTGGCGCCCACATTTTTGTTAAGGTTTTGGCCTAATTTTTCCTTTTATTTGTGTTGTCTCGATATTGTCACACAATTTTGTATTTTGTCACTTTATCAAGATTTTTAAGTTTATTTTGTTTTTTTTATGAATAAGGCCATAAGTAGTTATAAAAATTTAAATAAACTAAAGATGCGATTTTCGTCATTACTTTGGATTAAAATAAATATAGAAATAAATTTTATAATGTATGCAATACTCAGTTGATTTCAAATTCGATTAAGTCCATATATATGTACATACCTATATATTGAATAAACCACTGTCTTTTGTGCAGAACCGAGTTTCAAAATAAAATGGGTTAGGGTATTTTTATACAGGAGTTCTTGACAGTGCTCCACTATTTAAAATTGTCAAAAAATAAAATAGTTAGTTAAGTTAAACTCGGATCAGCCAATCAAATGTCAGCCAGCTGTTCAATTTAAACTCAGTTTACTTAAACTAAGTTTAAACTGGCACGGAAAAACTGGCCCTAAGTGGATGTCTTTATAAATTGCTGAAAATTCTTTATTTGAACAAATGATATTAAGCAAGCGTTTCGCTGTTTGTTTGTAGTTCCTTGTACATAAGTATTACCCATTTTGTGTTTGATTAAGGAGAGAATAAAGCGACAATCATGCATATGTATGTAGAAATTTCAATATGCGTTCACATCAAAAATGATAGAATTCTCTCCACCGTGCGTTCACATGTGTACATGCCCCAACCCATGCCCCAACCCCACTGAAACGTATATACATACAAACATATGTATATCTGTATGTAGGGGACGTAGATATTTTTTTGTTCCGACTATGATATAATTATATAACCTCGGAATTTCATTTAATTTCGTTTTACGCGTGTATTTAAATTAAAATTTATTTAGTTATTGAAATTATTAATTGTATAATACTTACCACTCTTAAGCCAGTTTTGTAGCAATCTTTTGTTTATGAATTTGCAGGAATTGAGCTTTGATGTCCTGTGAGCAGTGGGTGGTCGAACTGAACAGGCTGGTTCCTAGTACTCCGCAGCGGCTGCAAAAGTTCTCAGCTCCGGGCGAGCTGAATAATACACACATCGATTGTTTGCTATATGTACTGACACGTTTACAACTTTTTAGTAAATAGGTTTACAAAATCTTCAATTTTCTATTACTCAAAATATTTTTCTTTATCAGTTTTTTTTTTTAATCTTGCAGACGTTCCCTCAATACATAGAATAGCTCCACCACCTTCTGGATCTTTCACTTGTTTATTTCACGCCCAGCACACTGATTATAAATTTGCTTTGGTTTGCTTAACTAATCGTTTTTTATAATTTTACGGTGTTGCAATATTTTGCTACGTTTGAATACTTTGCACGACTTCTTCATTCACTGAACTAAAATGATTACGGCCGTACAATTTCTTTTTAATAAATTACGAAATTAGTTACTGTTCTGACATTTCTCATTTCTTGTTTTGTTTGTATTCTCCTTGCTCTGACAGCCGGAGCAAAACAACAAGTAGTGACAGTGACAACAAAATGCATTGTTGCCAACTTTGGCTAATACCAAGAATAGTTGCGTTCCCCAACTTTTCTGTGTTAAACCTGTAACTCGTTTGATGTGATTCGATTTTTCTCACGGAGTAGGTGGCGCACAGCCCACGAAGTAGTTGACACTTCACACGGAGTAGTTGTCACTTCACACGAAGTAGTTGAGACTTCACACGAAGTAGTTGGCGCACAGGCCACGAAGTAGTTGACACTTCACACGAAGTAGTTGACACTTCACACGAAGTAGTTGGCGCATAGCCCACGAAGTAGTTGATACTTCACACGAAGTAGTTGGCGCACAGGCCACGAAGTAGTTCACACTTCACACGGAGTGTTGGCGCACAGGCCACGAAGTAGTTGACACTTCACACGAAGTAGTTGACACTTCACACGAAGTAGTTGGCGCATAGCCCACGAAGTAGTTGATACTTCACACGAAGTAGTTGGCGCACAGGCCACGAAGTAGTTCATGCAAGCGTAGAAACCTTACGACATGCAGCGAGCAGGTTTCTTACAAAAGCAGCGAACTAAAACAAACGAAAACATGGAGAAAAATCCGATATTAAATAAAAAAAAATTATAAATATTTTAAAAAAGATATAGAGGTAACGTACCTTCAGTAACTTTGCCTCTTACTCTGAGGGGCCATGACAATGAAGATGGAACAAAATGTTATCCCGCCTCTGACTTTCAACTTCCTCCCTCAACGCCCNTCAAAGAACGTAAACATTTACGTTCTTTGATCAAACCAACCAAACTACCATTGGAGAATAAAGCAACCAATTTTGGTCCCATTGTACCAAAACGGCAACGCTGATTATTTCGCTTTTTTGTTAACACTGTTCTCTCTTTTTAGCCACTCCAAAACCGAGATAAACACAGGCGGAGCGAGTGAATAAGAGCGATGAAACGAACAAACCAAAATGGTTGTTTGTTGGACGGTTCGAGTCGATTACCAACTAGGACAGAAATTCATCTACCGATACGACTTTTTCAATAAACAAAAGTAGCTTCAAAAACAAGTGTTTAGGGCTGTTCTTTATTGTTGGAAACTTTAAGAAATAGCTATTCATATTCATTGCTCGTTATAGCAACTATAAAATTAATCCTCGAGCAAATCAAGGAAGTGTAAAAGTCGACCAAGAAAAAAGGTAAAAGTTTCGCTTACTTAATCTTTTGCCCATCGCTATAGCACAGAAAAAATTGTTTAGAGTAAGTTACATTTAGACCGAAATTTCGTTGTGTAGAAATAAATACGAGTACGTTTGTAATTTAATGCTAGACGCTGTAAGAATCCAATGAAATAGCAGGCGCGTATAGCAAATATATATTTATATTTGCGTGTGCAACATCGGACCGCGAGCGTGTTCGGTCGACGTGCTCGAAGGAAGGGTGAAGAACGGCAGGAGCGGACGCAAAGAACTGGGGTAGATTTCCTTAGATTATTTCTTAAACAAGGAGGAATATTTCCTAAGTTATATCAATAACGATGTATGTCCTTAGTTTTAAATATTTGGTTCAAATTTATTAAAGAATAAATTTTTTTAGCCTTTTTTTATACCCATCAGCAACCCACCCACGGAACGATGTCAGCAGGTCTAGCTGCATTGAATTGCGATCTACGCTCTTACTCCCGACTTTGGCTCGGCGAGTTTATTGAACTTTATCAACAGGAAGAATGTTTATGGCATCCGAAACATCCTGACTATAGCAATCATAGGTATGTATATAAAATGTTTTGGTTATCTTAATAGCAATCCATAAATTCGGTTGTATTCGACAGTATTCGCAATAAGGCCTATGATCGATTGGTAGAAAAACTAAAAGAAGTTGAACCAAATCCTGATCGAGCAATGGTGGTCCGAAAAATCAACTCGTTACGTTCGGCATTCAGGCGCGAGTTTCGCAAATCAAGTTCCAAGAATAACTACGAAACACGTCTATGGTACTATGACAAGCTGCTTTTCATCGCTGAACAGAATCCAAAACGACTTGCTGCTTTGCGAGACGCTAAGACACCAAAACGTTCCTTGGCAATAAGTTTTGATGTTGATGACTCGATGGAGTTTGAGGAAGAACCAGTTGTGGAAACGATTACTGCATCGCCGGTGGAAAGTCTCAACCATTCACAACCAGCTGAGATGAAAACTGTGACCGTTACATCGGGTGAATGTGTTATTGTGAAGGATGAAGATCAGCTTCAGCACCAGCACCAACACCAACACCATCATCAACATCAGCATGCACACCAACATCCACACGAATTGCAGCAACATCATAGCGCCGAACAGCACTTGCAACATGCCACAGCCACACCGCAACCTCAGCATGCAACAGAAGTAAAGGTCTTAGAAATAACATCTTTGGATACCAATTCGCAGCGCGAAATTCAGCAGGTTAGATTTAAAGATAAAGTGATTGCAAACTAGATATATTATACATTTACAAATTTCTTGTATTTTAGGCTGTCAGTTCGCTAGAACAGCATCAGCAACAAATGCAACATCAGCTTCAACAACAGCAACACCAACAACAGCCCAGTCAGACTAGTTCAGCTCAAATAACACAAATTCACCAGCAAGTTCCAACCATACAAATAGCGCGGGAACACTTACAGCCGTTGTTTGGAAATTCATACACAACAACTGCAACGCATAGACAGGAGGACGAATACGATGCTATTGGTATGAATGTGGCATCAAAATTACGGGTTATGAACCCCACACAGAGAATCATCGCCGAAAAATTGATTAGTGATGTGTTATTCAATGGCCAATTAGACAATCTTAACGTTAACTCTACATTGGCTCAGTGAGAAGAGATTAAATATGAATAGGATCTGCAAGAGAGGTAAAATAAGTATAATTATGAATTTAGGCACATGCCTGTTTGTATGTACATAAATATATATGTAGATGAATATACATACAAATATGTGTGTAACTCAAAGGACATAATTGGGGTGTTCACAACGGTGTCGTAAGTGTCGTATTGTTGTTTGTCGTAAACTTTAAANGAATTTAGGCACACGCCTGTTTGTATGTACATAAATATATATGTAGATGAATATACATACAAATATGTGTGTAACTCAAAGAACATAATTGGGGTATTCACAACGGTGTCGTAAGTGTCGTATTGTTGTTTGTCGTAAACTTTAAACGCCCAAAAAATATATATTCAGAGGAGGGTTCGCAAAGTACCATGAAAGTCATATTATGAACTTTCGCAGTGCTAAAAAATAGTTAGTTTTGGTTTTAAGTTCTCTAAACATATACTTACGCTTTTAAAGTTTACAACATACAACAATATGACACNAAGAGGAGGGTTCGCAAAGTACCATGAAAGTCATATTATGAATTTTCGCAGTGTTAAAAAAATAGTTAGTTTTAGTTTTAAGTTCTCTAAACATATACTTACGCTTTTAAAGTTTACAACATACAACAATATGACACATACGACACCGTTGTGAATCCCCCAAATGTTTAATGTTATAATTTTTCTTAAATGTTTTTGAATAAGGAATTTGATTTAATTAAGTGTAGCTTTCTACATGCTAACATACTTGTATTCAAATTTTTACAATTTATATATTAAGTTCTGTACGAAGGTTTGTCTATTACATAATACTTCTTTAATTACGTTGAGACATGCATACACAATTTTATGTGGTACAAAAATATTGGCCACTCGAATAAGTGCACATACTATTATGTTGCATATCATTATAGAAATATGTACTGTAATAAACCCAATAAAAACCACGTACTATAGAACGATTTCATTGGGTGATTTAGAATTTAGGTTTTGAAACCTATGTATCAGTTAAATTTTATGTGTAAGTAAGATTATGTATTTAAGTCTCGTATTGGGTGTACACGAAAAATTTTTCAATAAAGTATCTCTAATCCAATTTTACGGATTTTTCACTAGCTTATGCAATCATTAAGATATACACATTATTAAAAGGGGGTAAACACATAATCTATATTCTTCGAAGCGTTATATACAAGTTACTTTAACACATTTCAACTACCAGCACAACGAAGAAGATGCTTTCATTTTACGGCAGCTGTTGCTGTTGCGGGTTTGCTTGTATTTTCGACACTTTGCTCACTACCGGTTAGACCTTGCACTCGACTCCAGCAGTATTTAGCAAACTACAAGCGCCAAAAGTTAGAAAAATAAATATATACACGCAGGTTCTGCGATGCACTTCCGAGTGAATTGCATCCAAAGCCACATTAAATTCAAATTGAATGGGAGTTGAAATTCACTTGGAAGTGAATTGCAGAACCTGCTAGATAATCCTTCTCATTTGTATAATTTACCGTCACAACAGGCAGGTCAATTTCCTCGTCGGCGGCAACCAGCGTGCGATTTTTCTGCATCAAGTTCCAGGCATAATGAATACCAATTATAGATGGAATCATTACAATTGCAACGGAATTGCGTCGCAGAAAGGTCTGGGTCTTCTTCATTGTCGTTACCTAATATTTCTTAATTATTAAAACAAGATTTCTAGCAAAACAAATTTTTTTCGCTAGTAATAAGCTGGCCTGGCCAATGCAAATTCACAAATTCGCTTGCAGCTGGGCCCAGAAAGGAAACCAAAACAAAATAATGACAGTAGCTGTGTTTAGCGAGCAACAAAAGAGTTGCCAGATGGATCAAAAGGAAATCAAGAATTTGTAACTAAGGAAACGGAAATGCACTAGCGGAAAATGTTTGTATTTTACCCGCTATATACGTTTACCGGGATTATACAACCGGAACTAACCAGATTTATCTGGCTAAAGCTGAAATTAGTCAAGAACGTAAACCTACCGGTACGTAAACGCGAGTCAGCTAACACGATGTGTCTTACCAGAGCGCCAATGTAAATGAAACCTCAACACCGCAGAATTTTTCTGTAGTTGTAGCCCGTAGCGCAGAAATCACCGGGATTTAGATGGATATAGATGGTTGTTGTTGTTGTTGTAGCAGCAGTGCTCAACCCCCCAGATTTTTCATGTGTCGTCGTCTTCATCCTCCGACTCTGTGAGCCTGAGGCCGAGAAAGCGGGCTGCGTCGATAGGCGCGGTCCAGAGCGCTTCTGGTGTCAGGGTCGTAGGGTTGGAGGTGCACGTGAAGAGGTGCTGGGTGTCGTGAGGACCTTGCCCACATGCAGGGCATGTGTTTGCCACTTGTGTGTTCAGCCGAGAGAGGTAGCTGTTGAGTCGGTGACACCACCCAGAACGGAGTTGTGCTAGGGTGCACCTGGTCTCTCTCGGCAGCTCTATTTCTTCTGGGTCTATGGGCGGCGGTCGACCGCCCAAGACGATGTTGTCATTACGCGTACTGAGGCTCGTTCTGACCGCATCGCTGTGTAGGCTGTTGAGCGCCGCTCTGTATGTTGCTGCGTCGAATGGATGGTCTACGTACGGCTCAATGTCCGCTTTCCAGTCATGCAGGTGTCGTCTCACGTGTCGTGGGGGCGGTTCGTTACGAAGCATGGATATAGATGGTTGCCAGTTTTGCAGATGGTAAAAAAGTTATATGTTCCTATTCAAAACACGTTTAAAATATTTGAAATTTACTATTGAATTAGGTTTTTTGTTGAAAACCAAGTAGTTTATTATAGCACGAAAAATTTTAGTTGAAAAGGTAAGTTTATGAAAAGGCATTGATGAGTGGCAACACTGTAGTAAGCAACACTGAGGGCTCCAGTAATCAACAAAGTTCTGCGTATACAGACTGCGTTTAAGTATACGTTCTGCATTCTTTTCTAATTTCAGCTTAAACACTATCACTTCAGCAACGTTTCCTTAAACCGTTTTATGAAAAGAGTTGGTATTGGAAAATTAATAAACTTGTTAGTGATCGATTTGTATTTACAAAAAAAAAAAATACTATCAATTAGTTCCATTTCTTTATTCACTTTGAAAAATGGAGGCGTTTACATTGCGATTAAACAACATTAAAATTCAATAAAATTTTGACGAGTTCATTCCAGAAAAGCTGGATTTGGTTGAAAATCACCATTATAAAAACAGTAAAAACATTTAAATTAAAACCGCACTTTTTCATGTTCAGTAAACAAATTTAACAGATGTTGATATATGCGTTCAAATCTGAAATTAAAAAAGATTAGACAAACGAATTTCAAACATTTTTCACTAGCAAACTAAAATTTCAATATCCATTACATAGTTCTTATTCACCTGTTATCAGTTATGCCACGAAAAAATCCTTTCGCTAATTTGGACATAGCTTCGTGTTTGAAGACATAACTGTGCGCCAAATAGGCAATATTTAATTGTATCATCAACTTGGCGAACGGAACTCTTTTGAGGAACGCAAACAGTCTACCTTCAGGTTGTTTATTATGTTGATTACAATAAAATTGCCAAGCCGCTTGAGTAGCTACCACAAGAGCCAGCACGCTGAATGTTATCTTGCCCAGAAAGAAGTATGAAAGGCCGCCCAAACCAGCTGCTAGCAGATGTTGTGGTGTACCATAAGTTGAGTTTGAATAGCGAGTTAGCACACAGCTGGATAGCTGCAAAACACATGTGTTTGAATTATTGAAACTAATGTATATAACGGGTTACATACTTACTCTATATATTCCCACATAGGACAGAAAAAATTTAGTCATATTGAAACGTATAATTTTCAGTTCTTCGAAACTTCGTGGTGGTCTTCCCTTGGTGATAGTGCTTAACAAATCTAACGGCACGCCATACAACAAATACTTTCTCATGCCTTCCAGAATGAAATGACAACATGTTTTCCCTTCATGTATGCAAGTTCCGGCTTTTTTGAGATCTTCATAGTTCTCTGATTTCTTTTGTTGTGCTCCAGTAGTGATGGGATTAATAAACCAAAATCCATTAAAGTCCTTGCGCCGTTTTGTATGCAATATTATGGCGCTGGAGAACATAAATATGAGAGTTTGGATTGGTAGCGAGTGGGTGACTATGCTGTTTCGATCACGCAACCAGGTTTCGAGTGCCTGCAAACGGGAATTTTTCATTATTACAATTTGTTAATATTCAAGCCCATTTTTAATAAAAAAAAAAATGGTTTAACATTCAAAATAACCAACATGCATGAACTGTATTTGCAAATATATAAAATATTTTTTAGTTTGAGCTAGCCTGGTCGTCAACTCATTTGCACTTTTATTTACATTTCATTACTTTTATTACGGTTATAAACTTATAAAGTAATAGTGACTTAAACATGTTAAGCTCCAGTTTAAAAGTACGCCCTTTCGTTCTGTTTTTGATTACAAATAAATCTTACCGCTTGCGTTGTAGCAGTGCTGAAGAGACGCACGGTGCGTACGGGGAAGAACCAGGTCAACTGAAATGCTAAATATGCTGGTAGGCATGTGGCGGTATACAAGTAATATCTCCCAAGCACATTTCTGCATATACATATGTAAATATACATACATTTTATTTTTTTATGTTTAATATTTAATATTTGAATTTTAAATCTAAATCTAATTCTATGAATGTTAAATCTTTTTTATAATACAAGTCTAACAGACTGTAAAAAATAAATAAATTACTATATACGTAATTTGCATGCAATAGAAATGTATTGTTTGAACGGTTTTGCATATAAACTTTAATACTTGAACAGCTTTTGAGTTTTTATTTTACTTACCGCAGCAAGCAGATAGCAGAAAAGGTTAAAGCGCAACCTGAAGCACTCCATAGCGACGATTCCAAGTAGTGACGAAAAATATTTAAAAGCGTTTGCTTATTCAAACTCTTCGGTCTAAGCACTAGCGGTGACTGTGAATTAGAATATTTAAATATTAGTATTTTAAAGAACAGCAATTCAAAAGCTTCATCATTAAATACCACCGCATTCTCAACTTACAATAGCCAAGGGTAGAAAATACCTCAAGCTCCCCATCGAACAACGATACCAATTCCACCACAACATTTGTTTGCATGTTTGACCTTTATGCAGCAATATTTCCGAGCATGCTAGACGATTGTACGGCGGTTCGAAGAATACACTCATTACGGCCATATTGCTTAATAAAGCTTTGTTATTTATTAGACGACAGGCTTGTAAATAATCACAACAGACATTCGATGCGTACGAAAAGGAACTGATCGAGCTAATGCAAGCGACACACAAGTAAGCTAGCGAAATACCTACTTGTTGCAAGCCGAAGGTCAGTCAGCTCCCATGGAATCCATTAGCTTAAAATGCGCGCATTAAAAATGGCTATTGCACCCTAAAAAATTGCGTTGCGTTTGAATTATGAGAAATATGTATGCAGCTTCGGACAGTAAGTATTTATTTACATACATGTACACTCATATGTAAGTACATACATACATATATGCATGCGAAAATTTGTTTATTTTCTTTTTTTTTTTCAGTGAGAAACTGGCCTGTGTAAAGAAAATTTCCAAACCCACTACAAAGTTACACGTAATAGTTGTGTGTTTGTTCAGAATTTCGAGCTGAGAGACGTTGTTTGTGTATATGTATATGCAAATGTTTTGTTTTTCATTCAAACAAACGACGTCAGATGGCAGAAGAACACTATGTAAGTTTACAATTTGCACTTAAGCCTTTCAGCGGGTGATTGAAGGCATATCGCGGTTGTAATAGAGCCACACATATGTATGTATAGCTTTTGTCATTAAGGGGAAATGCGAAAGAAATAAATTAAACAAATCTCGAGTATTTAAGGTTAACAATCTGGGCTATCGCTGAATCCATCGTAGTCCGATTTTCGTGTAAGCTTCGAAAATGCAAAATGGTTTGCAAAAAATAAAAAAAAAATAAAAAACTCAACGCCAATTTTTATAAGTTGCATTTGTTATACAAACAAGTAATTTTTAAGCAAAAAACCGACGGCAATTCTTATACACAAATTTAAGATTACCGTTAATTTCTTCATCATCTAATGATCGGATGTAAACAACACTTACTTGGGACCAACCTGAAAACACTACCGATAGAAAAAGAATTATCGAAATCGAATATATTGCATTTTTCTTACATCACGCACTTCGCACCACGACTCGACTGCTATTTTTTAAATTTGAAAAAAAGGTTATGAAAAATAATGCCTTTTTTAATAGCAAGAGAAACGATCACATTTCATTCCTCAGCATGATCAATTTGTGACTGCCCTACTTTACGTTTTTATATTCTTAATAAATCACTTCAAGCATAAGGATTAGTCATTTGCGAGTCTTTTTTAAGCGCGGAAGCGATTAATCAATTTTTTATCATCAAAGGTGACCGAAAAAGACTCAGTAGGGCAAATTTTATTAAAGTAATCATCCGAATGCTATGTGGGTTCCTATTATTTTACAAGTTTTGTTTGAAGATACAAAGTAATTGGAAGAAAGGAAGACTATTAAAGTAAATGCGCTGCAAACCATTTTTTTTTCAGAGTATTCTGAATTCTAGAGAAATTTTAAAGATTTGTAAAGATCTCATCCGATCACATTCGATTCGAGAATTTTCTTTATTTTTTTGTAAAAAAATATCTGTACGATTTCGTGTCAACCACTTCATATAAATTTCTTTGAAGACTCGTAAAAATCGCTACAGAAATGAGATACTCCTAAAGATTTCGTTAAGATTTCGGAGACTTTAGCTTGCAGGGTAAAAACGAAAGGAAGGCGCCTCAAGCGTGTTATAAAGCGCATATAATTGAACTAAAATATATACATATCGCCATCAGTGCCATATAGGGGGTTCCCAAACATGGAATCTGTAGAAGAAAAGAAAAAACAGAAAACGTTTTCTTATAAAAAAAAAAAACTGTCCAAAATGGAACCGGTTAAGGAGTAGTTGCAAAGTGATGCACTAGGCGACAATTGCCACCGCCATTGACATCGCCGTGTAAAACTAGACAGTTGAAAGCATTGCTTGGGTATTGAGCTAGAACTAGTACTGTCGGAAAAAGGTCTAGTTCTACGCTAGTTCTGAGCTAATCAGATTTTCTGCAGGGTAATTGCGTCTCGGCCATGCTGTTGCTTTTCTTTGTGTGCAACTTAAACCGACTGCCGACCGCAGACCAAAATTAATTTCACGGAACCCCGGTGACTTTTCTACGGAACCCACTTTAGGAAGCTCTGCCATAACCATAAATGATGACTTTAAAACCAAAAGCTGTTCTAAGTATGCTACTAATTCTCCTTTTTTCAACATTGAATTGAATCTCAGTCAGTGTTGCCAGAGAAAGTTCAATAATAATCTGAGCTAAAAAATCTTCAGCAAAAAACCGTGTTTATACGTATACGGCGGTCGCTGGGGTATAGTGGTTAGCAGTGTGTGCTATCATTCCGCAGGGCCTGGATTCGAGCACGGTTCAACACAACATCAAAAATCAAAATAAAATAAAGTTTTTTCTAATAGCGGTCGCCCCTTGGGCAGGCAATGGCAAATCTCCGATCGTCAAGGTGCACCGTACAAATCGGAGGAGAAGCTTGGCCAGAGACTAACATATAAAACAATTATTTTAAAAATGCAGTCCAATGTGGAATAACAATATGGGTACGAAATGAAGGAACAAAAGTTCTGTAGAATTTAAAAAATTAAAGTTTTTCGATTCGCCAGGAGGAATGGGTACTGAAACTGCCCTTTCAATCAGTATAGTTTTGCTCAAGCAACAAGAGTTTACGGGGTGTGCATAACTCAGTGGTTAGCGCTTCTAACTTTGCACATCGCTAATGTGGGTTGGATCCCTGCTGAAGTCTCGAATAATAAATCTGATGAGGGAATGTCGTGATCTCCGAAATGGCAGCTTAACTTCTACCGCTTAGACTTTGTTGTTTTTTCCCATTTTTCCTAAGAAATAATTTCGTGGCACAAAGCTCAATAACAATATTGAAAATTTTACTTGTTCTTTCATATGCTGCATTCAATTATACAGCAAGGATATCATTAAACAGTGAAAAATTGTTACCTAAACTTTAAAAACATTAAATCACAAAAATCTTCCTCTTGAAAATATTTTCTGTGTAAAAATGAATAAGTTAATAGGATTTTAAGAAAAATTTCGGGTGTGCAGTTTTGTAGGCCATTCAATTTTAGTACAATATATATATCGAGGACGTCACAAATAAATACTTACCGCTGTCGGAGCCGTAAATTATCAAATCCGTTTTTTTGTTCCATGCGCTCAATGTGCTTCCATATTTTCAGGCAGATGTACGTAAATTTTCAATATATATTGCAGGGGACGGCTCCCCAATAGATATTAAATTTGCCTTGAATTGATTGATTGATATATACTGTGTTTTGGAGCTGTAAGGTTTTATCAGTGCGCTTGCTTAACATTCGCCTTCGAAAAAGCTCCGCATTGATTATTGCGAATACGAATGTTAAAATTAATGCGGAAGCTCCGCGGTTGCGAATGCGAATGCGAATATTCGCAACAACCCTGGTATCGAAAATTTTTTTACAAAGCAAGATTCCCCTTACATATTTAGTTCGTTTGGTCATAAAAATATATTCTGATTTCAAAGTATGATAATGGACGAACGTTTTGGATACTGTGGCACGGTAACGTTCTATTTATTTAGAGGCTCGACTCCTGCATACCCAATCTCCTCCGCATGACACATACAACCCCTTCGCATGCCCGCTGAAACCACTCAACTAAAACATTTCTTCCTTTGGTCCATCTCCGTTGTATGTGGCCTGACATTGTGATGATGGAACCCAACTCCTTTTCTGTTAGCCAATTATAATAATTATTGTCGATCGTTTCGCCACATTGGACGAGTAGCAGCTCATAATGGACAATTCCTTTCAAATCCCTCCAAACCCTCGACATAACCTTGTTTTGCGGTCAGTTTGAATCAACCGTTTTTGACTTGGATGAATTTTAGGCAGGACTTTTCTTATATAGTATGTCTAATATAACGAAGTTCTGTCAAAGGAAAACAATTGTATTTTTTTTCGAAGGTTATGGAAGATTCTTTATTTCACAATTTCCGGAATTTCGCCAGTTTGTTATTTAAATATCTAGAAAACTGTCATAGTTACAGATATGATTCTAGCCTCGTCTTAAAGTTGATATCTAAGGCTATATGTATATCTGTGTAATTTTTTTGCAAATTATACTCAAAGTTATGTTGAACAATTTTAATTTAATTAAAACGTATTTTTAATTTACAGTTTTCAAGAAACAATTTTTCCTATTTTTTTGTTCTTAAAAAAATACCTTGAAAATTTTAGGAATTTTTAAATCGGGAAATTGTGAAATTGTTAACTTTCGAAAACAAAATATAATTTCTTTTTTTGGCAGGAAAAGATAAGTTCTGACCAAACTTCATACAAAAAATAAATAATGACCGATTGCAACCATTGGTCGATTTGACCCATCTAAATGGATGCTCTAGAGGAATTTCTGCACCAAGAGAAAATTTTGGGAAAAATGTCGCGGTTAGGCCTCGATATGTGCTCTAATTACAAGTTTCAGTTTTTATTTCTTTAGTTTTATTAAAAAATATTTATTTTGAGTTTGTTTAGTGTTCAGCATTTTTAAGTTGTTTCCCGAATATCTCTATGTTTTGATATAGATTTCTCGCACTGAAACGAAAAACGTGAGAATGATTAAATGCGAAATAAACATAAGCAATTTAGCGAGTATAAAAAGGCGTGAGTACCAGACACGAACAAAGTATTGGGCGATTTAGTTACATAAATAAATAGGCTAGGCAGTACACGACTTGTTCATAATCACTTTTGTAACTACTTTCGAACTACCCCAAACTGATCCCCAACTAGGCCCAAAATTGTTCTGAAGTAATTCTGAAAAAGTGATGAGCCCCAAATAGATCTCGAACAAGTCTTCAAACGGTCCAAAAATGATCACGAATTAGTCCTTAAGTAGTTCTGAAATAGTCGTTAGGTAGTTGTGAAATAGTCATAAACCAGCCCCGCAATAATTCTGAACTAGTTGCGAAATGAACCCGAAACGGTCTCGAATAGATCCTGAACTAGTCAGGAAATAGTCCTGAAAGTTTTGAAACGGTATCGAAGTGGTGCCTAATTAGTCTCAAAATGATACGAAACTAGTTCAAAAATTGCTTTAAAGTAGACTTGAACTAGTCCCAAAATTGACCTGAACTAGGCCCCAAAATAGTCCTGTCTAGTCCCGAAATGGTTTTGAATAGGTCCAGAAACGAACCCGAATTCGTCCAAAACTAGTCGTGAACTAATTACAAAATGGTCTCGAACCAGGCCCAAAATGATCCCGAACTAGTCCCAAAATAGCCCCGAAATGGTTCTGAATAGGTCCAAAAGAGGACCCGAAATGGTCAAAAACTAGCCATAAACTATTGCGAAAATTTTCATTTGAAGCAGGTACAAATTTTATGCTGGGTTACAGATTAAACACGTAAAAAATTGTGTGCTGGGTTAACGAAAATTTTACCCATACATAGAGCTAAGATGTTTACACATCAAAAATTAAATTTAAAACTTTTTTTTCCATGCTTGCATGTTCAATTAATTGTGGCTCCAATACATTCTGTAATACTTAAAATCAAACAACTATACACACTCATAAAATACTGCTACAACTATAATCGCTCTCCGCTCTGAAATTATACATTTTAAATACTTACTAATTGTTTGTGAGTCCATTGATAATCGTTTCGCCGAGACTGCTTATGTATTCTTTGCGAAAGCAATAGGTATGCACTAAGTATGCCAGTGCCAGTGGGAAGAGCATTTTGTTGTACGACAACCTTTTGACCCACTCAAAGGTGTCACCGTAGCGCTCGGCGCTGAGGTGCGCCTTGAAATGCTGCCAACTTATTTGTATGCCCAACACCAAGGCATAGCATAGCAGCGTCAATTTCGGATAGAAAATGAAACATGAGCCGCTTAGGAAGGCAGCCGCAGTGTGGTTTACTGTGGAGTCGCCACCATAGTTTTGATTGAAAAAGCAATGCAGCAGCTGGTATAATGCAAAGAAACGTATTAAGTGGAAATGTTTTAGTCATAAAAAAAAAATACAAAATACAAAAAACTTAAACTTAAAACTTACCCTATAAATGGCTATGTACGAAGTGAGTAGCGCGCAAGAACGTATTTTAAAGGTGCTCAGCTTGGCGATTGCTTTAGCTGTGAAACCTCTTCCATCCGTTGTCACCTTGCTCATCAACATTTTAAGGATATCCAAGGTAAGTCCAATGATCATGTAATTCCGCATGCCTTGGAGGGCATAGGGAATGCAGGACTTGCTGCTGTGACTACACAATTTGTGCTGTGAGTTGCCGTTTTTCTCTTCAGTCGATTCCTCGTTTTCTGCAGACGTTTTTTCTCGACAGGGTGTAGGTTCCAGCAACCAAAATCCTTTGTAAGTTTTTGCTCGCTTGGCATTCATTATCAATCCACTACAGCACATGAATATAAATGTGCGAAGCAGTGCGGAATTGGCGATTAATTTGGTGATGACAGTTTTCTGTTGAAGCACAAACGATTCGATGGTCTGGTGATGCAATTGTCAGAGAAATACATAAACTATGTTAGAAGCTTGACTTATTATTCGTTAGACAAATATTACGGCTTAATAAAATAGTTTTCTTTATCCCAATCAGGACAAACAGTTTGTAAAAATTTTTCCATAGAAGTTCGATATATTGTACCAATCGTGTGACTACAAAAAAAGGGATCGTCCAATACAGCACAAAGTAAGTAATACAATCGAAAGCTAAAGGGCTGTCAGTATGCTGACCGTATTATTGATGTCTCTGTCGTAGTGGCTACTCAAAACTGCCTAGATCGGTTTGAGTTTTTCAATAGGGACAAAGGTGTTAGCTGAGTGGGGGGTTTGCGAAGAGATACCTCGAGTCGTGGGGTGTGTCTCCTGATGCAGGGCACTCGTTGGCCACATCTGCATCTAATCAGCTTAGGTACGAGTTTAACCTGCTGCAGTAGCCAGAGCGAAATTGGGTTCTTGTGATTATAGTCTCCCGAGGCAGACGAGGCTCTGTCTCATCTACGTCGGGAGGTTGTGTTCTCAAAACGGCATTCATAGGTCCAGTGTCTGGGTAGGTCAATACTGACTACATGTGAATGCCATTTATGGCCTGTTGGTAAGCAGTCCGGTCCAGAGGTTGGTTTATAAGCCGCTGGACTTCTTCTGTCAACCAGACCAAAATAGGGACAAAATGGGTATGCCCTTTCACTCAATACAGACGAGGTGAGAACAGCAATAACGGGACCGATAGTATGTCGACTGTTGTATGCTTGCGGCGAGAGCTGGTTGTGCTTTGGCTTTGTGAATATATTCCCGAATGTTGGAATCCACTATACCCTGTCAAATTCACAAGAAACGAGATTGGTACTGTTTAAAGGACTAAATTCTTTCATGAATCAGCTGGTTGGTCCTTATCAGTACGGCTTCAGAAATGAAGATTTCGTCATTTAACCGAAATACAGTGTGCGCCCAATCCTGAAATGGAAACGGATAGTCGAGGTCATGAGGGTAGAAAAGGTGGTGAATCGTGGCGTTGATCCAGCAATCATATCTACTATCTATTTACGGCATTGAAGGTCTATCAGTTGTATCCATTGAGGGGAAGAACAAATAAGGGCTAGTTTGGCTGTGTAGTAGCGTTGAGCACCATCTTCAGCTCGATCCGAATTGGGAGAGACTCTCTTACCCGTTCGAAACCACACACGGGTTTAGACAATGTGACGACTAAGGCCGTCTAGTGCAGTATTTTTCAGCTTAGGTATTATGATAAGATATCCATCCCATGGCAACACCCGAATAAAAACTGCATAGTCATCGGCAGTTTTAATATTTGAACTTTGCCAGCTTTCTTCGATAATTATTACATATAATGTAGTCTGTATTACTGCCACGATAAGGGGCATTTAACTTGCCTAATTTNGGCTTTCTTCGATAATTATTACATATAATGTATGTAGTCTGTATTACTGCCACGATAAGGGGCATTTAACTTGCCTAATTTAATTTCAAATTAAGATTTAGCGTTATATTCCTTACATGCTAGATTCTACTCATATAAGTAGGCCTCTTCTATACCGAAGTTGAATACATGTATCTAGGTAGTAAACCAAAAATAATAAGGCCAGTTTCTCAATGTCTGGTTACCACTAACCACAAGCTATCGATTCCCTGTTGTATGTGATGGAGTCGATCACGTCGATAACGATGTTTAACTTGCAGTTAGTGTTAACCAGACATTGAGAAACTGGCCTTATTCTTTTTCCTCTCTAACCTTAGCTTTAGAAAGCAATTGGCTTTCTTAAAATATCAGACCTTTTACTCGATTTATTCAAACAAAATTAATAGTACAATGTCTGAAATTTTAAGAAAAATCAATTGCTTAGTTTTTATTCATAAGGCTCATGATTCTTTTGATTGAAAACAAAACCTTAAGCATGTTGTATGCTTTATCAAAAGTCTCCTGTAATGGTTTATAAATACCTATTAAATCAAAAAGCTTTTATACAAAACAAAACAAGAATACCTAACCAATTTAAAGCAAGTTGATTTTATTACACTACTGACTCAACGCTTGATATTTTACGTATTCTAAGTATTCATTTAGTTCTTTAATAGTATGCAATTATCTATACATACATACAAACATACTTACACACTGAAACACGGTAGTCTTAAAGAGGCGATGAACTCTTGGACTTGGTACGGCCCACATTGCAAAGCTGCCAATGAATGTAGGCCAAAAAACAAAGGTGTATTTGCCAAATTTTCCGAATATATGACTGTAATGATGTGGAAATTGGTTGCAATAAGAGCAGGGTTGCAATTCACAATTTAGTATTTACATATGTACGCGCTGTTTCACTTGAATAGGTACTTCGTTTTACTCCAGCAACCGAGCTTATGTGTGTACTTTTAGGGATCGGAGAAAATCACAGAATATTTAATAATTCATGGGTTCGGGACATTAGAGACGTGTTAATAAAATTAAACGGCTAGTTGAAGTGTGACTGCATCAAAATTGAATAACGGAAGTATTTTTGCACAGAACTTCTCTCTGCGTAGGCGGCCTTCGGGCNTTTAGAGACGTGTTAATAAAATTAAACGGCTAGTTGAAGTGTCACTACATCAAAATTGAATAAAGATGCTGGTGTTAATGTCACCACAAGAATAATGCTGAATTCAGCACTTGAGTTCACAAAAATTTTACAAACGTTCATCAAAAAATGTACATAGTGAAAAATGAGGACTGTGATTTTCTAGTACTGACATGTTTTGGAAGATGAATTCGAAAGTTTTGGTTCTTTCGGGCGAACATTTNGTGTTAATGTCACCACAAGAATAATGCTGAATTCAGCACTTGAGTTCACAAAAATTCTAAAAACGGTTACAAAAAAATGTACATAGTGAAGAATCAGGACTGAAATTTCCTAGTACTGATATGTTTTGGAAGATGAATTCGAAAGTTTTGGTTCTTTCGGGCGAACATTTTTATTTTTAATTTAATTGTTCATACGGATTTTATTGTTACGTTATACGAATGGAAGAACGCTTTTGACTTATCGAGAGGAGGAGAAGATTAGAATGATAAGAAACACACTAGACATTAGAAAGCAATTAGACTACGATTGATATCTAACCTTTCCCCTTTTGTAGAGAATGCTATAATTCTCGATAGATTCTCAAATCGTTCTCTAACCTAAATGTTTGTTGGGTAATATGACGAAAAATTTAAAATACAAACAGCTCGAAACGACATGTCTTTCACAGCTCGTGTACATATATTCTGGGCCATAATTGTTGCATTTTACACAGCAAAATAATGCCACCGAGTATACCAAAGGACCTATGAAAACGCGCGTATATAATGTTTATAGCTGGTTGTTTTGCGAAATTTTTAAGTCCCGCCATTCATATACATACATATCGTCACTACACACGAATAAAGGCGCGATAGTGTTTTGACGGCGAAAAAAGGCGCGTAAAAAAATTTTGCGAAAAAAGATGCCTTTGAAAAACTTCGGCGAAGTATGTTAAGAGTTTTTGACGCTAAAGTTTTTTCTGCGTCTTTTTTCGCCGTCAACTTTCGAGCTCGCGCCTTTGTTCGTGTCTAGTGACGATATGTACACATATAATAAATAAATATTTGGTATTATTTAAAATAAGTCCGCGAATAAAACAAACTATCAAAAACTTAAAAAATATGCAGGAAATTTTGCGATATTTTTACGATATCTACAAGGCGCATGGATTTGCAAGGAAACACTGTACCTATTCAATTGAAGCGGGCGGTGTATTTTTTAAACTTACCGCAGCCAACAAATCATCAACATTATCATCCAGCCGGTCGCTGTACCACTCACTACAGCTGCAATGTAGTAATTGAGCGTGGATTTGAGAATTCCCTTATTGAGCGAACGAATGTGCACAAGTAACGGTAACTGAAAAATATTTTTTATCTGAAATATACTAAATATTTACTTAGGTTATTTTATAACGCGCACTTACACCAATGACTGGAGCAAAATATTTCATATTCGATATTAGAAACTTGTAAGTGTTTAGTGCGACATTCATTTTACACGAACCATTATGCACAATATCGTTACAACATAAGCCTTTTTCAAGGTTATCCTTGAACAGTTTACTCAACACCACCATATTGTAGCGCCCGTTTTAAGCGAACAAAAAAAATCTCCGCTATAAATTTTTACTAAGTCTAGAAACCGAACTTGCCTAGGCCACAATGATATTGGAACTAAATAATTTCCGAAAGAAAGCAATGGCTATCAATTTAACCTTTATGTCAACAGCAGAAAAATTATACGTATGTATGTATGTACGTCAACAGCAGCATAATCGGGTATGCACATACCTATGTACATACATTTTGTGTGAGAAATGGCATTACTTTAATCTGCCAAAGTTTTTATTGGTATTTTCTGAATAAATATGTTTGTTTTAAATACATATTTATGTGAACAAAGTTTTGAGAAATATGTTATTTTACTGTATAAATAATGAGTTTCACAGACCACACTTTATGATCTTGGGTTTTAAATGTAGGTATATGCCAAATGGATTGTTTAGGTACAAAACTTGTAAAATGATGTGAGAAATGAGTTTAGAGAGAGAAAATTTACAAAAGTAAAAATGGAAGATGGCGAATGGCTCACTCCGCGACACCTTAGTGCACTGGATCCTGAGCAACAGCACGAATACATTCGCCTGAGGTTAGAAGATTTTAAATTTTTATTTTATTTTTTTTTTACATAAAAACATTGTCTATAATGTCAACTTTAAGTACCCAAATGGGCGTAATAGGCTACTTAGGCGTATGGACTCTAGATCGTTTAACGCTCGGGCAATATAATAAATAGACATTGAAATTTTATGAAATTGTATATTTTTGAAAGAGGAAAGTTGTGAAAAAAAAACAAAAACATTATGAATAAATCATATCACCTTTACTAAAGGGCTGAAATCACGAAAATCCCTTCAAGAAAATGGCAGAATTGAACTTTATTGGAAGTTCACATGGGAACTTCCTTCTTCAACTTAGTGTGAGAAACGGGTGAAACCTGAAATAGAAGTAGCAGCTACTATTAGTCGAATAACCAAAGTGTTATCTACGCGCAACGCCATTGAAGCAATGAACGGCGGTGCTTTAAGGATAATGGATGTTGCGAAGTGCGTGGTGTAGATTACATTTGTTGAGGATATCATGCAATTTCAAGTTAATCCGATATATAGTTTCCAAGATATAGCAAATTTGACCCGGGTATGTTGCTGTTAACATAAAGGTTAGTAAAATCCAGTATTTTCACATTTTTCCGTGCGCTTCGCTTTAGTTTTTAAATTACATAGGTGCAAGTACGGAGAATTTTAACGTCAGTAGGTTTGCTCAATTAAAAAAAAAAATTAAATTCTCAACTTTAGTATACAAGGCGTTCATACATTATACTATACACGTGTACTAAATGCAGCTAAAGCCACTCAAATATACTAAATATGTACATATTTATAAGCCTTTGAAAAGATACATATGTATGTATGTATGTAAATATGTATGTACATATAGTGCTTATCATAACTATAGGACACTCACGTCTTGACAAGATTTGACTACTTATTAATTAATTGGTTTTTTTTGTTTAAATTATTTTTTGTATAAAAGTATTGTTTATTTTTTAACAAAATCCGTATAAATCCAAGTTTCAATGCTTGTGGAATAAATATTTAAAAAAATTCAACAAACTTTCGTAACAATTTCGAGATTTCTTAAAAAGATTTTCAGTATGCAGTTTTGTAGCCCATTAATTTTTTAGTGCAAGTTTGAAGTAGCTGGGACTTGCCGTTGATTTTTGGCAATTTCAAAATATTTCTAAAAAATGTAATTGTAAAGCTAGAATTTTTTTTTCGAAATTTTGCGTGTGTTTGTTTTTTTTAAAGTAATTAAAATTGAAAAAAAAATAAAAAGTCAAATCTTGTCAATATGTGAGTGTTGTATAGTTATGACAAGCACTGTATGTATATAAGTTTCAATCGCCAAAGACTTGAAGAAATGAATCAACTCCAGTATTTGTTTGTGTGTACATATTTATGCATGCGATTCGTATTCAGCACAATTTTTTTTTTTTCAACAAATTCTGTACATACATAGGTCTATGCATAATTATCCAATTTAGAAAATGTAAAAATAAATATTTAAATTTAAAATTAACGTAAAATTAAGCGGAATTGAGAAAATGAAAATAGTATAAAATCGCTATGCCATGCAATTCTAATCGACTTCCTCCACAGTTGGTCCGCCAGCACGTCCACCTTGTGCGCCTTTTCCGGCTCCCGCATCGCCGCTACCAGCTCCATGCATTTTCGCCATTATTGGCCCGCATACACGTTGACATTCCTTTAGGCGATCGTCGAATTCATCTTTTTCGGCCAACGTATTGGCATCCAGCCAGGACATCTCCGAAGTACATTTATCGCGCACTGTTGCCTTATCGGAGTCAGTTAGGCGGCCAGCAGGTGAATCTTCAACAGCCTGAAAAGAAAATACAATGAAGTAGATATGTAGGCATTTTTATGTATGTATGTTGAACCTGGAATTATTAGTGAAAGGCGATACAACGCGATAAATATAAAATATGTATTATAACCTTTTAAATAGTAAGCCTAATGTCAACCCTACCTAACAATTTGATGCCCTTCTTACCGGATGTGTAACTAAAAAGCTTAACCCATATAAGGCCCTAAATAGTTACAAATAATTTCAACCAAACTTGGTTGTTCCACTCAGATAGGTAGGTAGATAAGTTAAGTAGTTGCCCAATGTACCTTATTTATGGAACTGTAACTGCGAAAAAAACTGTGTACTGAGTACGAAGTTTCGCAGGTGTCTGATAGTAGTCCTGAAGAACTTCTCAGGCAGGGCTGGTTAAATGGCGTTCAAATGATTCCACCTCGAAGCCGAAGGCCCTGATTTCTGTTTGGTTATCAGAGTAGTTGTTTACCTCACTTATCAACGTTACACGTTTCAGAACTCAGTTTACTGCTTCCTTAGTGGTAGCTACCTGCAAAATAATAAGTCTGGAAGTCGACCTCCACTCCAACCATCATTTGAGAGGGTTATCAGGGACAAAGTCGAAGTTTCCAAGAGTATGAGGTGGGTCAGCCAAGCACCTAAAGCCCCTAAGTCAGTCATAACGTTCTGTGCTAGAGGTGGAGTAGGCCTACCGTTTCACCCGCTCGAATTTCCTATATAGCGCAGTCTTTTTTTTTCTAGGTTATGGGCTTTTTAAAGTTGCAGGTTTTATTGGGAATGTCGGTAAAGGATTTTTTGAAACACCTTCCCAATACCGCCCACCCCGGAAATTTTGAAATTATTACCGTAGGTCCTGCGGGTTAGGCTGCAGTCTTCTGTAGGTCCGAGTGACACCTATGTCTCTTTCCAGGAGTCATCCAAATATTTTTGTGGGAGCACAACTAAATTAAAGTTTTAATTCAAACGGTAACAACATTCGTGTGTAAATATTAACCCTCTAGCAACTTATTCACAATTGTTGATGTGAGGAAAGGCCAATAAGCTTAAAAATGTTAGTGAAGACTGTTTCGTACGCATTTCTAAAAACTGCAGCCATAAAAGACATATTTCGAAAACAGGTAGCAGGCATTTATGGTACTAGGGACGACGTACAATAAGCAGTTCCACTACATGGCTTCCATTGGCCTACTTTTAAGTCATTAAACTAATACAACTAAAGTTTTCTTTCTACTCGAAATCAACCACATACATACCTGTTTACAACTGAATATGTAGCTCTCCAAAGAGTTTCGCGACTGTATGCGTTGCCTCTGTTTCTCATCCTCGTCCTTGTAACGTTCCGCATCCGAGAGCATTCTATCGATTTCTGCCTTTGACAGGCGTCCCTTATCATTGGTGATTGTGATCTTCTCCGATTTCCCAG